AGGTATTTACTGTATTTTCCTTAAAAAAAGAATAACTTTTCATCAGGTTACACGACGAATTTGATGCAAAAGTCGTCATCAGCATTCAGCGATATGTTGAGACGTGTTGATCGAGTTTTAATTATGGGGATTATATCATAAGTCAATCAGTTATCACTATAGCAGCGTTAGAAAAATTTCAACATACTAGTAATACTTCGTCTCATGAAGAACTATTCCTCTAAGAACTATTTATTAGCGATTCAATATTTCCACAAAACCAAAGAGAGTGTGGATGTGGGTGATTAGAAGGTCAAAATTTCACACCCATATCTACGTCCATCTTTAATTTCCACATGTCTTCATCGGAATGCTGTTTTGATTTAATAACATGGTCGTATAAATGACGGTTAAAGTTTGAACTAACTATAAAAGAAAGCTTTAGCCTTCTATAAGTTTTTTTTAATTTTGAATATGCATCATTTTGACATTAAGATATTTTACATTTGGTTTATGTGAATATGATCTACTCATTGTCTAAATCTTCACTCGATGAGTATTCTTATAGAACTTTAATAGCACGAAATAATAATCTTTTGAAATTAGTTTTGTCAACTGTTTCATTGATTCGTCATAGCTATGTGTTAAAATTTTCTGTTTTATTTCATTTCTTCAACTTTTGTCTGTCTGTCGTAGGAAAATCATAACTGCTATTCTAATAAACGCAATATATGAAATAAATCAATTATGATCAAAGAAGTCAAAGAGCTATGATAAAAACCTATCAAAAATCATTCCTATTATGATTGATTGACCAAAAATGATTTAAGTTCTTTGAATCCGTTGGGTCGACATCGTGCATATGAGGCATAGTCATAGTCAAGTTCAGCGAAACAAACTTGAACAAATTCCCAAAGTACATAGCATAAATGAGATAAAGCAGAAAATTGATCGATAAGATGATATATCTTCTCTTGATCATCAAATTTCAACCATCGTGCCTCGAAATAAATTTTAGGCCAGTGGCATTGCTCATTTCTCGTTGGATATCAATCAAAATCGATTTGATCGACATCTGTATATTCGACAAAATGATTAGCCAAATCGAATACAGCAAATTTGATTGCAGAATATTCGAAATCGATGAATGAAATTGAATGTGATAATAAATCGTAGAGAATATTTTTCCAGAGAACATCGTTGTGACATACAAACCAAATCAATGCCATATTGAGGATTAGGGATAAGTCGAGGTAAAACGTCTCATTCTGTCTGATCAACGTCAGATGAAAGAGAGGGCAAGTCTATAAAAAAAGAGAAATCAATTCTAGAATAAATTGGTATAAGATCTGTTTTAAGAACTATTGACGACACTATCTCGTATAGGCTTTCACATATTGGGATGCGTATCCCTATTTAGTTCTATTTATTTACCTTCTGGTTGACCATCATCATTGTCAATTAACGTCAAGAATTTTAGCATTAATGGAGCGAGACATGGCTTTTTATTCATATTTTCAATTGGCAATGAGTGAAGTTTGACCATTTGACGAGCAATAAGTGAAGCAATCGTCATGTTTCTAATATCATCTCTTGAACAAATTCCATTCGGATCAAATTTGTAGATAATTCCATTGGTCAATTGAAGAAGAATGGGTTAAGCAAGTCCATGTTGCGAAAGAATACATAAAATATCTACCTCGACATCACGATCAATGAACTCTTCTGTTTTTCATCAGAATATCTGAATGAAGAGTGCTTCTGGCGGATCTGGATTATCGAAAAGACCAAAGATTGTATTGATGATACCATCAGTGAACTGGCACAGATGAGTATTGGATGGAGACCAGTTTAGACGAAGAAGTGCAATCACGTGAAAAGCGTTCGGCGAGAGAATCGATGCTGAAAGCGTGATAGAAGAGGAGAGAGGTTGATTCATCTAAAAAGTATCAAAATAAACAAATGATGATGTGCTCGAAATAAAGTTCAATATTATATGTGACATAATGCTTTTTCTCTTCGTGATAGCCAAGATAGAAGTGAATATCGTGTTGTATCTGCATGTAATTATTTCTCTGATCATAATGATGATCAGATGAAAATGTCGATATATGCACACGAATCGAACAAGGCACACGAAAAAAATTCATCAAAAACCAAAAAAACAACATGTCTTTTGACAACATATAGTCTTCTTGTCAAGAAGAAATAAAAGAAGAAGTTATATCTTATCTATAGAGCGTGTATTTTTTTTTCAGACAAATCGAACTTAGTATTATGAAAAAGCGTCTTGTCAGAAATGTCAAGATATCAATTTAACTTATTTTGTCGAGAATTTATTAACTCAATTATTTGTTAAATAAGGTCAAGGCTGTGGCTTCTTATCAATGAACAGTACCATATTTTTTGTATCCTGTAACTTTATTTTACAGTTTTAATTCTGTTCACTTTTGCTATTTCAGCTCCATGAATACTCGAGTATGACGTTTATACGAAATAATATAACAATATCATGTATAAATCAGTAAACTGCCTGTTCAAAGATTTTTCTTCTCTTACAAAATGAGTATTATAGATACAATAAAAGAAAAAATTAATATATATGTAATGTCTCTCTAACAGAGGTGTCAAAGCCATAACCTGACATGATTCCAACGATCACATGCGCAGTGAAAGGTTTGCGGTTCTGTATTTTGTTCGGTCCATTCCCATATTATAAATTGTTCCTTATTGACCTTGCGTGATTGTCTAATCACTGAACCTGTTAATGTTTTCTTCATTCTATTGAGAAATTATAGTAGACCAGTACCCGATGACGAATAAATGTTTCATCTTTCAATATAAGTAAACGAATGACAAAATGCATCAATATCATTGAAACATTACGTATAAAGCCTATTTTGAAGTAATCTTCAATCTTCAAATAAATAATATCAGACCATTCGCGAAGAAAAAGACTACAGAGATTAACACCAGAAATTTGCAGCTGACGCAAACTACGTAAAAATTCAATGTATTTGTAAGGTAAATTTTTACACTACTCAAGATAAATGTCATATGTCATAACTTACGATTTATGCTTTATGTAGACAGGCATTGAGCGATCTTTCCTTTTTGGAACGGTTATCGAGTAAAGAAATTTTGAGTAGATTGAGAACAAGTGTTTTCATGTTCAAGAAGAATTGTTTGTATTCGTTTTATGGACGGGCGAATAAGAAATTGTTTCGCTCATAGACGACCAAGAATTTGTCCAAGCTCTCTGAACCGATTATGATCCCAAAATCATGTGAACAGAGGCTTTGAGCAGTTTTGTTGGTTTTCATGGTACCAAGCAATCATATTTTTCATACATCATTTGGTTTTTCTCAATGAATTCAATTTAATGGTCGGCAATATTTGATATTTCGAGAAAAACATCTTCAGCTGCTACCCAGTAAATAATATGTAGAAAGAAAAATGAACCACTCGATTTTTTTCGAAACTGACTTTCAATTATTTTTGCGTTGATTGGACTGGCAATAACAATAAAATTCGCTCATATATACGATCGACAAGAATAAAAGGTAGAGAAAGCAATTGTCAATTAACGTCAAAGAAAAGAGATTAGCAAACTGAAATGATAGCTTCTAACAGATATCAGGGAAACATAGAAATGATCAAAGGAAATGAATAAGAACAACCAGATCGAAGTACATGTCACAGTAATATGTTACAACTTTTTGACTTTGAGCCCGACATTGACGAGTCAATTAAGGAGTCATGTTGCCAGCGCTGGATGCTTCCTTATGAAAAACGTTCTTTGCTAGACGATCTTTGTTTTTGTAAATTTTTCAAACAACTAAATCAAACAAGTGCAGGTGCTTACGATCATATTCCGTCACATACGGAGCTTTACATGGCACAATATTGAAATTGCATATTTTCGTTTAGTATACAAAGAAATACGATGATTTACGGAGACGAAAACAAGTACATGCTACATTCGTACACGATGGTTGCATATGGTTCGACTTTTGCTCCATATTTCTTCATACATATGATTCTATTGTTTCATGTACAATCCCGAAAATATGCACTCGTAGTACTGAACTCTGTGAACCGTCAAAATACACTTGTATACAACGCAATACAGTTATTTATGAATGTATACACTCTCTGTATTTGTCGCCCTAGACATGTGCCACAATTATTATTTAATTGTCATAATGTCAAATAAACCAAATGATATATATATATAGATAGATCATTTCAAAATACAAAAAAACTAATAACAATCACTCATCTCTATAGACACACAGCTATGCGCTTAAAAATGACAATATAGTCAAGACATTAAAAAAAATCTTCAAGCCTGATGATGCCTCGCTGCTTAAAATTTGATCACCGTTCCGTGACGAGACAGTATAACACTGTGATCTTGGAATCTCTACTATGGATATATGAATGAAATTGTTAATATGAATTTAAGAAATATTTCTCTCATTCCATTCTTTCAATAAAAATAAGACAACTATCTTATTACAATATTTTGAAATTGAAAAAACAAACAAACAAATAAATGAATAACTTGGTATAAGAAACATCATTTATATGTAATGAAAAACAAATAGACGTAGTCATTATTCGATTGTTGTTTAGTACGCTAAAGAATGAGTGAAAAATAGAAAATACCAAATTGTACAATGTATTGAACAGATTGTAAACACATATATTACAATAAGAGAAACTAAGAAGAAGAAAAGGAAACCAAGGCACCGTATGACAAAGCAGAATAAGTATATATGAGTTCAAATCAATAATTCATACTAAAGGTTGACAAACGAAAAAAAAAGTGAAGATACATCTCATGAGTATTATTAGATAATCGAAAAGATTTAAAAAGAACCACGACAACAAGTAATTAGCAAAAGCGAGAGTAGTTTTATACTGAGACCTATTGATAGATGAATGTTGTTCATATTTAGTGGAATGAAAAGGAATACAAAACCAAGCTTACATTATATCTAAAAATATTTTCCAATTCAAATATCTCTTAATCGTCGATGTTGACGTCGCGTTGAATAACGTAATGGTATGTCAGTGCCGACTTCGTCAATAGCTGCTAACGCCTATGATAAACATAATTAGAATAAGAAAAAAAACCAAAAAACATAAAATTGAACATACAGCATCAAGCATTTGACGTGTATGTGCAGCTGATATACAAAAGCGTACACGAGCTTCTAATAATTTTGTTGCAGGAAATCCAACAGTAACAACAGCAATACCACGACGTAACAATTCTCGATTAAAACGAGTAACTCGTGCAGGTAAATAAAGTAACATTGGAACAACAGGTGAATTTTTATTACCATAAACAATAAATCCCATATTGACTAATTTTTGTCGAAAATAACGTGTATTATCAGCTAATTGACAAATACGTTTTTTGCCTATACACGAAATTGATTTATATTGATTTATTTATATTACATCTTTATTTACCTTCCGGGCCATTAAGAAGACGAAGAGAAGATATTATTTGTTGAACAATAGGCGCTGACATACTTGATGCATAGGTATTCGCATGAGAATTAGCACGAATATGATCGATGAGAGACTAAAGTAATATCAAACTTTTATGTTTCGATTAATAGAGTCTATAAGCGGAAGGTGTTTGTTCGATAATTATTGAGCTCATCTTAAGTGTACCCTCTGTATATTGTTTCACATCGAACAAGTCATTCTATCATACACCGTAAGTTGACTTTCTTTTTGAAATAAAGAGAAGCTTCTTGTCTGCTTATCATGCATTAATTTGTTTAAATAAAACTAGACCGTAGGTTATATGAAATATCTTCGATTGTGAGGCATCTGAAAACATCATAATGTCTGAAAATCTATTTCAGTATTTATCATTGCTTCAAAATAAATAAATTTTTAATTGGAAAAGATGCTTGAATAGAGATCATTTTTACAGAAAGCATAGCTTTGCAGCCTAGAATTTATTTCATAATTCTATATGAATTATGCTAAATAGAGATAAAACAAAAATTCTTAATACTTTGAATGTACATAATGATTAAGCAGAATATTTTTATACTGCTTATCTACTGTACATTCATTGAAAACTGTCATGAGTTCAATTAGTTCATTCAAAGATCGAAAGAATTTTAAAATATATTATTTGTTTTATATTGGTAATAGGATCTTTCTATATGTCAATAAAATTGAAGCTACACTCTAATTTCCAATTCTAAATATTAATATAACTTAATTTTATTGTAAAATTACAAAAAAACAATTATAAATCAGATTTGATTTTCTTTGATATTTTTAACTACTTAGTCTGAATTGTTTTATTTGTAAACAAATTATAATTGTGGATGAAGAGACTTGTACAATTTAAGAATCCCTCACAATAGATTTACCACTTAGAATAGTTCATTTAGGCTGAAATTTCCAGGAATAAGTGGCTCTAGCGAGAAACGCTTCTGATAAAAATTTCAGTCCGATATGTCACGCAGGTCGAACTTCCGACTTATTTATAGACCACTAGTGAACTTTGGCAGAATCTTCATAATCTCATCATTATAAGTGGTAGAGAGCTCGAGGTCGTTTCAAATCAAAGCTGATACCTGTGCGCAGTTTTTATCCAAACAGAATTTTGAAATTCGCTTCTGTTCATTTTTTATGATTATTTTAGTACATATGGTGTTAAAATACACAAAAATTTCACTTCACGATACTGAGTCTCGTTTTTCTCAACACAGAAACCAACTATAGAAAATCTAGCCAGACAAAAGTTTATTCTTATTTTCACCTTTAAAACAAAAAAGAATATTGATTATATCTTGAACCGGATGGGAAGAGTTTCAAAGATTCTGATCTTGAAAACCATATTTTGTGAAAAACGGTAAATACTTTTAGATATGGATTTTTTTCATTCAAATCCAGAAAAAGAAATATTAAAATAGCATATTCATAATATATTTTAGTGGAATTTTTAGAAGCACGTAATACAGATCATTAGCTAGTGAGATCTACTGTATTTAAACTATATAAGCATGTTTATTGAATGCAGATGTAAATAAAAAAAGCAGTTTTCTCAAAACTAAAAAGCTTTAAAATAGTTCCGAAAATCTCTCGGAAAACATGCGAATAATGTGCCAATTTCTTTCGAAAATCTGTTAAAATTTGACCTTTTTTTTTCTAAAAGTCATATATATTCTGAGAAAGGAAAAGACTCGCTGCATGTTCCTATGATAAAAGCTCGGTTTCGATTTTTTCTCGAAAAAATAGATTCTCTGATGGATAAAAACTCTTAAATCTAGATGACATAATTTTTGTCGAAAAATTATTTAATGTATCTACCTTCTTTCCGGCAATGTAGCCACCTGCTGATCCGAAACTTTTTGTAAATGTTCCCATTAAAATATCAACATCGTTTGTATCAATATTAAAATAATCCACAATACCTCGACCAGTTTTACCCATTGCACCAATGGAATGTGCTTCATCCATATATAAATATGCTTTATACTTCTTTTTCAGTTCAACTAATTGTGGTAATCGACAAATAGATCCTTCCATACTGAATATAAAATTATTACATATTAAGAATTTTCTTGAATAATACTAACCTATATACACCTTCGACAACAATTATTATTTTTTGCCATGGTCTATTTGTACGTGGATGACCTTGTACAATAGCAGTACGTAATTTTTTTTCCAAATCATTCATATCTATTTTTATTCAAATGAATATTAAAGTTATCAAATCAAAACAAACAATTTTACCATTATGTGCGAATGTTTCATAGCAAGCACCTGATAAACGTATACCTAATATAAGTGAAACATGATTCAATTCATCACTTAAAATTAAATCTCCCTAAATAATAATATAAAGAAAACTTTATTATTAGTACTATACATTTTACTTTCGATGCTAACACTGGGAGATTTAATGCGTTGGTTGCAAAGCCCTATTTAAATAAATATGTATACAGATACTGTTCTTTTATTTTTGTCATTCGAAAAGTATAAACGAACCATGCCAAAGGCAATGCAACTTTCAACACCAAGAAATTTAGCTAGAAGTTGTTCAAGTTCAACATGATAACGTTGAGTACCTATAAACAAAAGAAAATAACGATTATTTTCAATTATGCAAGTTATGAACATATTGAATCAACAAAATTCTGAAGTAGTTACTCATATTGACAGAAACGATAAATGTACTCCTACACGACATCATCATTATGGTCAAGGTCAGGAAAGAAAGAAAAAAACTGTATGTAATCGATATTCCTTTCACTTGCCGATACACGTAAGTTTCTTACCTATTTCAGCATTTGTACTACAAATTGCAATAGCATGTGATTTAATTGTATTTATCGCATCTGTCGCACATGAACCAGTTCTTTCAGCAAAACCCAAATAATTATATGAACCCAAATTTATTGCACTAATTGTTCTGCCCGAAAATCTTTAAAAACTGACTTTTTGAAAATAATCATATATATATATCTGTAAAACTACCTATATGTCCAGTTATAATCATCTGAAAGACGTTCTGCTAATTCAAATTGTGGACCCGGTACACTTGTAATCGGACGATTAAAAATATCTCGGATACGAGTATACATATTTCTTGTGTAAAACGATTCATAACTTTGATAAAGTGGAACGAAGCCCTATAAGGCAAGAGAAAAACTAATTATATAGTAAAAGACTAATTCATATATACAAACCAATGAAACATTGGGATCAACAGCACCACGTTTCTTTTCAATATTTGATTGTCGCAAAAAATCTCTTAGCCAACCAAATAAACAAAGAATAGCATAACTAATATAAGTAAGAACAGCAGCATAGAGAGGTGTTTCTTCAAATTCTTCACATTGAAGATCATCTTCAGGATTAAGCAATATTTCTGTGTTATACTTATTATTATTCTTATCCATTTTCATGTTTTCATAAGCCTTGAAAAGAAGAATAGCAATCATATATTCATTCAATGGAAACAAGTGTGATATAATTACCGTTGAAAAAATAGTATCGATCATGTTGTTCTCTGAGTAATGTTTAGGCGGCGAATAACGATGCTAAAGAAAAAAGTTGACAATGATTAATATAGCCATGAATCAATATCATTTCTTATTAATATTAACGATCAACATGTAGTGGGTAGAAGAAACGAGAGATCATGCAAAAAGAAAAAAAAAGAACTCTAACATTGGAGTTTCAGAAAAGAAGACAAAAATATTTTTCTGTTTCTACTGTCGGTGAATAGAAAATAGAAATTGTTTTCGAAGGAGGACATTTTTATTGACTTACGACAATCATGACATTACTTGGCTATGATCATGCGATCAGCATCATTTTAAACACTCCATCAAAATTGATGAGTCATAAATGGTGGCGAGACGTGACCATCCCAGAATCGGACCATATATTCATTGTACGTTCGCTATCAAAAGAACGCATATATGTTCTATCGAGAGAGAGAAAAAACTCTATCGTTCTTTTTCTTTTTTTTTTTGTTTCTTAGGACTTGTTTTGCTTTGTTCTGTTCTACTCTCCTCTTAGTGCGAAGAACATTCAGATAGGTATTACAATAATAAAACTGAAACATTTAGAAATTACAAAAAGAGGAAACTAGAGTCTTGCCATTTTTTACTTTCTATTCTCAATAGAGGTCGTTGACTTTCGTTATTGACATGTCTACTTCATGGTGATTATAGTCTTATTGTTGATCAACTTAAAATAACAGTAAAACTACCGTTGTCTAGCGACATCCTTACTATCACACTAATTGCTACATGGATCCTATCTTATCGGGTGTAAGGCCTTGTCTACACTGGAAAATTCAATACTGAATTAAGAAACGCGGTTGATCGAAAAGTTAATTCAGACTTAATGCATTTTTCAAAGACGGATTAAATTTAATGCACCAATCGAACAAGAGTTTGATCTACTAATTAACTCTTTCAGTGTTGAATGTCATCTCGTAGGGACATGAAGAATGCAAAAGAGAAATTTTGCGTTCTGTCGTCTTTCTACATGATACATGTCATCTGTGTGTTCAGCGAACCAAGTGTATTCCACGCTGCAAAAATCTATTTTTTCACATGGAACTAATGCAGCTAGAATTTGTGTACAGCTGATTATCTAAACGAGAATGCAAGGGAGAGAGAAATCGAGATTTTCTTCAACTTCGCGCAGAATGAAAAAACATTTCAGAATTGAAAGGATTAAAATACTGAATATGCTTCGATAGATTTTATTTATATCATTGATAGATAGATATTTATAATATATGACGAACAGTAGAATACAAGTGAATAGGAACTGAGACAAGAATAAGTAATACTTCAATGATTGATGAATCTGTAGGTGAAATAAATAAATTAAAACAATAGATACTTTGTTAACAAATCTCATGATTCAGTCAGTAATTATCAAACAGAGACAGAAGCGACATGTTGTTTTGTAAATACGTGCTAGAATTATGCATTCCGACTACATCATAGTGGCCATTCCTCAATTCTGATTGATGCATTGAATTCATAAGTGTAGACACGTATAGATTTAATCCGAAATTAATACAGATTTATTTTTCTAATGCAGACAAGGTCTAAGAGTGTCGCTCAACTGCAGATAATTCCAGCTAACTTCTGTTCCATGTTTTATGCTTTTTCCATTCAGCTTTTGAGTACTATGTGAATATGCATATGGTATGCAATTTACTGAAAAATAATACGTGTTTGAGAAAACAATCAAATTTATCGAATAAAAAATAGAAAAAAAATTAGTTTACATCATTTTAATGTGTTTTTACAAAAAAATGATGATGTAAATGAAAACATAACAGAATTTCATATTACTCTATAAGAATATCGAATGAACCATTAGCGATAGAATAAGCAGGCCATTACATACTATCTGACTTAATACATACCAATTTTTTTCAAAAATTATATCTTTAGAGACAGATGTAAATAACAATTCAACATACCATTTTCATCATTTTATCGTCCGAAAAAATGTAATCATGAAATGAAAATAACGCTAAATAAGAAAACCAAGAAAAGTGTGAATTAAACCACAAATCTGGTCACTGATTTTCTTCTTGATGGATCGATAAATTTCAGCGCGGCAAATACACAAGTGATGTTTTTGCTATGCCTTCAGAATATTGTTAAGAGCACGTTTGAGTCTCTTGTGTAGAGTATCTTACGATGCATTTTACAATATTCGCTTTTTAGATCATGATCGCATATAAAGCATATGTAAACATATGTATACGATTTATATTAAATAAAATCACGTCAGACGTTAGCAAATCTAAAGGGTGAGCCATAAGTCTTGGTCGCTCTCAGGAAAATTGCTCTTTCTTCCTTATAACAAATCCAAAAAAGCTCAAACTTTGGTATATAATCCCTTGTAACATGATGAATATTATCCTAAACTTTCACATGTCTACCCCTACAAATAACGGAGATACATATATTAGCATTTTAGATCATTTTCTATGTCATAAAAACAACAAATCATCAAGGATTTTCATGGAAACATGAAGAAAATTGCATAAATAATGCTATTATAATAAATCATACTATTTTTCTAGTATATATTTATTATAGTAGCATTATTTATGCAATT